AAGGGAGGAGAAAATCCATTTCAGAGAGAAGATTAAGTCAAAATTTTCTGCAAGGGGAAGATTCTGAGGGGTTTTGTGAAGCCCTGGGACCAGTGCAAGGCTGGCATAAGTGGGTTGTTAGAACCATCACTGCCTGTAGGCTGGTGATGGATTTGTAAGACCTCCTCCTCAGGGTAGGATTGATGTCAACCATCTTCTGCCATCTAAATCTTACCTGTCTAGATTAAACTAATCTTTGGGCTCTGTCTGCAGTCAGCAGAGGCAGGGATGCCACAGGGGAGGGTTCCTGCAAGATAGCTTGAGGCAGATAAGGGGAATCACCTTTTGGCAGCAGCTCCTGCTGGCATTGAGAGCAGGGACAGACTTCACAGGAGAGAGAGCTCCACGTCCCTCACTCAGACCTTCTCTCCTAAACCTTTTCTCTACCGGGTGTTTGCTCAGAAAATCTGGAAGAGAGAGAGAGATTTGGTAGCTGGTTGGAGATGAGCCAGTGTGTGCTCAGGAGGCCAAGAAGACCACCAACAGCCTGGCTTGGTTCAGCACTAGTGTGGTCAACAGGAGCAGGACAGGGATCAACCCCCTGGACTCAGCACTGGGGAGGCTGCCCCTCAAATCCTGGGGTCAGTTTTGGGCCCCTCACTCCAAGAAGGATCTTGAGAGGCTGGAGTGTGGCCAGAGAAGGGCAATGAAGCTGCTGGAGAAGGGTCTAGAGCCCAAGTGTGGGGAGGAGCAGCTGAGGGAGCTGGGGGTGCTGAGCCTGGAGCAAAGGAGGCTCAGGGGAGACCTTCTGGCTCTGCACAGCTCCTGTCAGGAGCCTGGAGCCAGGGGGGGGGTCGGGCTCTGCTCCCAAGGAACAAGTGACAGGACAAGAAGAAAGGGCCTCAAGTTGCCCCAGGGGAGGTTGAGGTTGGCCCTGGGAAAAAATTTCTTGCCCTGGAGGGTTGCCTAGGGCTGTGCCAGGCTGCCCAGGGCAGTGGTGGAGTCCCCACCCCTGGAGGGGTTTCCAAGCCGTGGAGATGTGGTGTGAGGGACACGGGGCAGTGGGGACCTGGCAGTACTGGGGGACGGTTGGACTTGATGGTCTTAAAAGTCTCTTCTAATCAAAACAGCTCTACGACTCTGTAATTAACCCAAGTCAATTAATGCAGGCCTTCCAGCAGATGACTAAACTTGTGGTTTAGCCTCATTTCTTTACACATCCAGGTCCTGGCTGACAGAGAGAACTGACCACGAGCTCTCTCTAACTTGGAGCTGAAGCCATTTTCCTGCCACCCCCAGGTCTCTGAGCATTTCACTGGAGATGAGCCAAGGGTTGGTGACTTCCACCTTTCCCATGCCTGGCTGGAAGGAGGAGAGAGGTCCATGTTGACTGCAATGAGAGAGGAGATCATGCTCTTGGAGATGGACAAGTGTGGGGCTGTTGGTGGGTGTGCTCCAGCAACGGAAGGACAAAGTCCGAGTGACTATAGAAAACTTCCAAATTCTCCATTCTTAGGCCACAATTTGGCAACGTGCACGTGACAACGACTCAGGCAAGGCTGCTGTAGGCCCAGGTCCCTCCTCAGAGCTGAAAATAAGAAGCTCCATATTTTGGGTTCATGGTGTTGAGGTATGGATTGCGTGCAGGGTCCCAGGCAGAGAAACATCACAGTGACAGCTCGTCGTTGCTGTGGATCCTACTCATAATTGATGTTTGACCCTTTATATTCTGCACCAACATGGATTTGTTGGAAACCTGAACATCCATTCTGATTTTTTAATACCCTGAGGTTTAAATCAGGGCTTTTCACGCTTGTAGCTGAGTGTGCTGCTGAATTTTTGTGTTTGTCTGGTGGGATAGGTTGTTGTTAAGGGCTGTGTGCTGTAAGCAAAGAGAAATTGCTGTATGCAAACCATAATTTTTGTGTACTTAGTGTTTTGAGTGCTGTGATGAAAGGGATGTACCACAGCATTTTTAGCAGCTGTCTTTGTCTTTGTCTCCCTCCCTGAAGGGTGGCAGAGGGCTCCCTTTCATCTGGAGGATTATCAGGCCATGATGGTAAGCAGCACCACCAGGTTGGGTTGGCGTCGTTGGAGTTTTCGTCTTTTGTTCTGAGGTTTGAAGGGTTGTTCCTGGCTCTCCTGTTCCTTGTCTCGTGGTGTGATGTTTAGTGAGGGCAAGGAGCCAGAGATGTTCAAGAAAAAACATTAAACTCAGGAGGAGGGAGGGGCAGCTGAGTCCTGCCCTCTGAGTCCTACTACCTCTTGGTGGTTACCCCACGGGTCTGGAGCTCAGTTCTGGTTGCAGAGAGAATACCTGGAGCTCCACTTCTGCTGCCTTCCCCTAAGCAAAATCTATTTAAATGTGAAACACAACATACTGCCCAGTTTCATACCTCTCATCCCAAAACAGGGCCCCCTCAGCTGATGGAAGGTTGTGAGGTCAGAGGACGTGGGCAGAGACACTGATGCAGTGCTGGCTTGGTTTCTGTCTGTAGTTTTACCTGTACACCCAGTTTCTTCACCTTTCAGTTGGTCGCATGAACCCAGGGACGTATGATGAGAGGGATCAGCGGGGTCCCAAGCCAGGAGGAGCTGGAGGTGGAGACTGTGCTTGTAGACCTCTGCTTTCCTGCTTCTTGAAGAGCTTCCCTGGGTGGAGGTTGGCTCTTCTCTCTGTGCTAGGTCAGGTATGAATGAAGATCTTCCCATTTGAGTGCTCCAGGTTCTGAATTCAGGGAAAGGTTCCTCCTGGGTGAACTCCACCTAAAGAAAACTCATTTTATGGTTGTTTTGTGTCTGCCTTCAGTGAGTTCTGTGTATTCCTTTCATGAGGAAACCAGATTCACATGTGAAGCAGAATACACGAGACTGTATCTCTGTTGGGTTTGCGTGGCAAGATTTTGGAACTGAAGGGTGCTACAGGGGTGGCTTCTCTGACAAGCTTCCAGAAGCTTCCCTCGTGTTTGATAGAGCCAGTGCCAGCCAGCTCCAGGATGGACCAGCTGCTGGCCAAGGCCAAGCCCATCAACAGTGGTGGCAGCACCTCTAGGATAACGTATTTAAGAGGAGAAAGTCCTGCAGCATGACAGGAGCCAGAAGAGAGGAGTGAGAATATGTGAGAGGAAGAGCTCTGCAGATATCAGGATTGGTAAAGAAGGTGTGGGAGGAGATGCTCCAAGTGCTGGAGCAGAGATTCCCCCCCAGCCCAAGGTGAGGACCACGGTGAGGCAGCCTGGCCTCCTGCAGCCCATGGAGGTGATGGTGGGGCTGATACCCCCCTGCAGCCCGTGGAGGTGGTGGTGGGGCAGATAACCCCCTGCAGCCCATGGAGGTGATGGTGGGGCAGGTAACCCCCTGCATCCATGGAGGTGATGGTGGGGCAGGTAACCCCCTGCAGGCCATGGAAGACCCTGTGCTGGAGCAGGTGTATGCCCAGAGGAGGCTGTGACCCTGTGGGAAGCCCATGCAGGGGCAGGCTCCTGGCAGGAGCTGTGGAGAGAGGAGCCCATGCTGGAGCAGGTCTGCTGGCAGGACTTGTGCCCACACAGCAGAACCACACCAGGGCAGTCTGCTCCTGAAGGAGTCCACCCCATGGAAGGGACCCATGCTGGAGCAGTTCGTGAAGAACTGAAGCGGATGGGAAGGACTCCCATTGGAGAAGCTCATGAAGGTCTGAAGGGACCTCACACTGGAGCAGAGGAGGAGTGTGAGGAGTCCTCCCCCTGAGGAGGAAGGAAACAACATGTGATGTACAGACCACAACCTCAGCTCCCCACCATCCCCCTACATTGCCTGGGGGGAGGAGGTGGAGAAATCAGGGTGAAGTTCAGCCTGAGCAGCAGGGAGGGGTGGGGGGAAGGGGCTTTAAGCTTTGATTTTATTTCTCATTACCCTCCTCTGATTTGATTGGTAATAATGTAAATTAATTTTCCCCAAGTCAAGACTCTTTTGCCCATGACCATCATTGCTGAGGGATCTCTCCCTGTCCTTATCTCCACCCATGAGCTTTATTTTACATTTAGTCATTATTTAGTTGCTGTTGCTGCAGGATCCATGTAGATACATCCCAATTTTTTTTATATGTGATTTGGGGTACACCTTCAAGCAAAGCCTGAGTCCAGCAAAAGTGGATCCCTCAACACAAAAGACAGGGGATGCCATAGCTTGCGTTGAGGTTTCCAGTCCCAGCCTCTAAAACAAAGTGCCACAACCTGTCCCTTCATATTGAGCCTTTCTGTTACTCCTTTTATATCACATGGAATTAGTTCATGGATAAAAAGAGGCAAGAAGGAAGCAGCAGCATCTTTCCATTAGCCTGTGCTGCAGGGCAGTTGGGATGGCTTGGTGGACCTCCAAACAAAGGATGTTGTATGGGCATCAGCAGGGACCCAAGTCTGCACCTCTCCCACATGTCTGAGGAGATGGAGCTGTGGCCACCACTGTCTGTTCCAGGTTGCACAGCCCAGGCAAGGGAAAAAGCATCTGTGCTGGGTTCTTCTTTCATTTTTCCTGTGTGCAAGATGTTGTCCCAAGGGAGTTGACTCTTCCTGGTTCAACAGACCCAACTCAAACTCTATGAGTCCCCAGGAACTCCTGGGGGAGGTGGGTGGATTAAGAGGGCTGGTTTTCAATGGGTAGGGTCTGACATGAAGACAAGAACGTGCTTTCTGTGCCAAAGAGGAAGACTGTAGCTGATTCCTTTCTCCAGGGTTTAAAATCCAGCGTGCTGGCACCCATCCCATGTATCACTCCCCAGGCACGGCCACAGGGTTGGCCATGCAGAAATCCTCATCTGCAGCCTCACAGCAAGGTCAAAGATGATGAGTGAGCAGGATAAGAAATGTGGTGCCAGGGGGGGCAGCAGGGTGGGGACCACCCTTCTCAGAGGACACACAGTTGTGTGAAGAGCCCTCATTGCGACTTTGCTGACCTCAGTTGGCTTGAGCGTGCTTGCTGGGGCTGAGCAGCAGCACAGATGTTGCCCCACTTCACCTCCCTTTTCCCCTTCTGTTTTGCAGCATCCCCTTCAATCAAGCTTCTTGTGGATGACCCGATAGTGGTGAACCCTGGAGAGGCCATCACCTTAGTCTGTGTGACAACAGGAGGGGAGCCAGCCCCCAGCCTGACGTGGGTGAGGTCTGCAGGCACCCTGCCCGAGAAGACAGTCCTCAACGGTGGCACGCTGACTATCCCTGCCATCACCTCAGAAGATGCTGGCACCTACAGTTGCATCGCCAATAACAACGTTGGGAATCCTGCAAAGAAGTCCACCAACATCATCGTGAGAGGTGAGTGGAGCTGGGAAACTCTCGGCCTTTGTCTTGGAAGACTGATTGACTCCTAAGCTGGTGGGGTAGAAGTGTTCACACTGTGGTGTCCTGGGTTTCCAAAAGTATTTCTGATTGTTTCTAATAATGGATGAGAGGGTTGGGCTTGTTCACCCTGGAGAAGAGAAGAGGAGACCTTCTGGTGGCCTGACAGGACTTAAAGGGGCCTACAGGAGAGCCAGGGACAGTTTTTAGCAGGAGCTATTCTGACAGGATGAGGGGTGATGGATTAAAACCGGAAGTGGACATTCAGACTATATAAAGGGGAGAAATTTTGGATGCTGAGGGTGGTGAGCCCCTGGCCCAGGTTGCCCAGAGAGGTGGTGGCTGCCCCATCCCTGGAACCCTTCCAGGTGAGGTTGGCCGGGGCTCTGAGCAAGCTGCTCTAGTTGGGGATGACCTTGAAAGGTGGGAAGGTCCCTTCCCACCCAACCCATTCCATGTTTCTCTTCCATGAGCTCATGTTGGCTCGACATGGCTGGTGGCCCCTTGTGCTGGGCTCAGAGCCCTGAGCTGGCCCAGGGGTGATGTGGTTGCCCCTTTGTGTTGTGAGGATGCAGCAGCTCTCCTGTCCAGACTGGAGACAGCTGATCACCAAAGGACACCAGATCTTCTGGACGTTGCCTGTGCTGGTTCCGTGCACGTGGCACCCTGAGCTCCTGGAGATGCTACCACCTGCTTCACCCTTCCTTCCTCCTCATCAGCTGAGCCTGTTATTGCAATGCAGGCTGTGGATCTGCTGCCCCCAGACCACCGCTGCTCTGGCAGGAGCTTCAGATCAGCACCTGGCCTTTAGTCGCTCTAAATAGCAGGATAAATATCTGTCCTGGCCAGAAGGAGGAGGAGACTGCTTGCAGAACATCCACAGCCTGGTGACGTGGAACTCTCCCTCGGGGGTTTGTCACCTTCTGGCTACCCCCAGGGACACGGGCAGTTGGTTTGAAGGAGGAGTTCTGTTGGCTGATGGGCATCATCAGAGTGGATTAATCTACCTGAACCCAGCAGTTCATCTGAAACTCACTTCCTATCATCTAATCTGTGAGTGGTGGTGAAACAGAAACTCCCACACCATAGGAACTTGAAATAATGGCCTGTGATGAATCACCCTCAGGAGCAAGTGGTGGGAATAGCTGATGAGAGCCATAACCCCTCTTCACTTCTGGTTGCCCAACACATCATCTTCTCCAGCAGGAGGAGGGACGAGAAGCTATTTCTGCTCTGGGGGTCAGGGAGGAGTTTGTCAAGAGATATCCAGAGGTTTGTGTCCAATCTTGGGTTTCCCTTTGGATTTTGGACGTTTGGCTTCGGGGTGGTGATGTCAGGAGGCAGAAGGAGACTTGTTCCAGGCTCGTGGCATCCACACTAATCTGCTGTGATTTATGGTGGTGAGGGAAACACCCTCAGGATGAGGAAAGTCTTGGTGTGAAAAGAGACCTGGATGTTTTAACTGACCCAGCAGACAGCACTGGAGAGCCCAGGGGGAAAGCCAAGGTCCCTAGCTCCCTGCAGACACAAATTCCATGAGTCACAGCCTAATAATAATAATACGCCCCCCAATTTTTATTTATAGAAGGCCATGCCTAGGAGCTGTGAGACGTTGGGCAAAAGAGCATAAAACCATTTAGATGACTTTTTTTTTTCTTGTTTTTCCCTCTCTGCTGTGGCCCTGGTAATTCTGAGAAGGGACTTCAACGAGGAACAACCCATGGAAGAAATAAGGCACAGCTCCCTCCTAGCTCCAGTGCCTGCCATGGTTTTCCCCTTATTATTTCTATTAAAGGGGCAGAACTCCCCTGTAGACCCAAAAAAATCTCTACTCCACTCTTCTTTGATTTATCTTTACTAAAAGCAGTGATTTCAGGAGTGAAATGTGGGGGAAATTTGTCTCAGAGTTCTGGTTTTACTTGGCGGATGTGGGTTTTTTGTAGCGTTTTTGCTTCTCCCCATCCCATCTTTTTTTTTGTTGCTGTGTACCAGGGTTTCCACACAGCAGCTGAGGAGAAAGGAATATTTACTTGAAATAGCACCTGAGCCTTGCAGGAGAAGCCTTTGGAGTTCACATCTGCTGTTAGATGGACTACCAGCCCCAGGATTAGACAATAATCCCCTAATCTTACCCAGGAAGAAGTGTCCAGTTGTCTCAAAGCATCATCAAGGCTCAGATGAAATTTGGTGCCTTTAAACTTCACTAAATTTCCCTGTGTCTTTTATTTTATGTGCTTCAGTCCATGGATGATGCTTCAGCAGCTCTTCATTTAGGGTTTTTCTGGATGTTTTCCTGTTTTTGTGGCTGGCTGCCCAAGTCTGAGCACCAACCACACCTGACTTCAAACCCGTTGTGGATGGTCTCAAATCCCATCACATCTTTAACAACAAAATGATCTAAGTCCAGGGAGAATCCTTCAAAAAAGAAAGGAATGAAAGTAAGGAAATGAACAGCCACAGGAACTCATCCTTTGGGAAAGGCAGAATTGGTGGCTCTATGAGGAATAGAGGGGATGGATGTGGATGTGTTGGAAGAGGAGGTTCAGGCATTGAGGTGACACCAAGGAGTGTTCAGCTCAACTCTGTCCTCCTTTATCAATCCTTCCTGAAACCCTTAAAAAATTGGGGATAAATACAGGGAAATGGCAAGAGGCCCAGATGGGATGATCTGGGGGGATACAAGTGACCTACCTGAGGGATGGTACAAAATATCCCCGCGTGGAAGTGCCCTGAAAACGTCTTCTCTGCTTCTCCAGGGTGTAACCAGCTAGTAACAGATGCTCTCTGCTCAGCTCTCAGGGCATTGCCTTCCATTTATTAGCACCCTGGATTTATCTGGAAGGCTTCTAATATGCATAAGCATTTATTAGGCTGGTTTTTTTCCACTTTTCCTTGATTTCCTCCCCTTCCAGTGAGCGCTGGCACGGAAGGAGACGTTTGGTCCTGAAAATAGAAAACAGACTAAAGCTGCTGCTGTGGTGAGGAAGCCACTTTAGCCAGACCCATCTTTGGATTATTATTTTGGTGGTTTTTTTTTCCTCTTTTGGCCTGGATAACTTCAAAGGAATTGTAAATCCTTCCAACAAACCCAAGCTGGGTGCTTGCCTGTTGGTTTGGATGAACACCCGTCCCTTGCAAAACAACATATGGTGTCTCCTGAAGGAGACCTAAGGAAAAAAGGCTTTGATGTGAGGGTGGCCAAGACTGGAGCAGCTGCCCAGAGAGGTTGTGGAGTCTCCTGCTCTGGAGAGATCCCAAACCCACATGGATGTGATCCTGGGAACCCTGCTGGAGCAGGAGAGTTGGATGAGAAGATCTTCAGAGGTTCTTTCCAACCCCACCACGCTGGGATTCCTGAAGCAGTTAAATTAAACCCCTTTCTTAAGCAAGTTGTAAGCTGCAAACTCTGCTCCTGTTGTCTCCATTCTGCTGGGTTCTTGTGTTTTTGCCTTTCATCCATCAGATATCATTAATCAAAGTTTTATTGAGATGATAAACTGTTTTGAGTACCACGGTGGCCTTCCTGAAAAGGTCCAGGCCAAGTGCAACATCTTTTCATTTCCTCCCTTTGCTTGGAACAGGAGCTCACCAGAGACAAATCCGTGGCCACGTGCTGGTTTACCTGTCCAAATCTTGGTGAGAACACCTCTGAAGTCCATCTGGTTTAACGAGTGGCTTAACTGTCCCCAAAGTAATTGGAGAATATTTCACTCCATCAAAGACATCGTGGTCCATCGAGGTGTCTTGGGTCAAAGCAGAGAAAACAGGACTGTGCTCTCCTTGCAGCAAAGCTGGCTGCTCACCAATCCTCATTAGGAAAGTTTCTTTTCTAAGTATTTTTGTTAGATTAATGGGTTCTTTAAATGATTGCAAGTGTGCCAGCATTTGAGTATTGGTGGGTGTTCTCATCAGTGGCATCTTCACCTCCTGCTCTCAGGCTGATGATTAGAAGTAGCTTCCCTTGACATATTTCTGGGTAAAACCATTAGAAAGCAGAGGAAGCTCGAAGGAAAACTTGACTTCTCTCATTCTAGTAAAAACTGGATATTTTCATCCTTCAATTATAGATGAAAAAAAAAAGAAGCTCTCTCAAGGAGCAAATCCAACACAACTCCTCTGGATAAACAAAGTCCTCAACGAGTCCCATGCCTGATGTGCTTTGCTGTGCTTGCTTGAAGGAGGTTCTGTTATTCTGACTTTTCAGAGTGGAAAAGTGTTGTTCTGATGCACTGGAAATAATTTGTCATAAAGGTCCAGATGGGGAAGATCTGTCAGGCTTCTTTCAGAGCTCCTTCCCACCCAAAATGTTTCTCTTGATTGGCTTTCATCCTGATTTTGCCCTTGTTGGTCTCAACTGGAGGCAGATGATGATCAGTCTTCCTGTGGACATTTTGTTAGTTAGAATCATAAAATCACAGACTGGTTTGGGTTGGAAGGGACCTTTAAAAGTCATCTAGTCCAACCTTCCCCTGCACTGAGGATGGGAAGATGACCATCCAGCTTATCCCACCTCCCAGGAAACCCTAAGCAACCTTCTCTAGTGCTCAGTGCAGGGGGGTTGGACGTGGTGACATTTAAAGGTCCCTTCCAACCCAAACCCAGTTGTTGGTTCTTCTACGCCGAGGATCTTTTAAGAGTTGGCTGTTGGAGGCTATTTTAATCATTTCAAACTGTCTCTTCAATTCCTCCCTGGAGAGGGAAGCAAAAGGCACTAGAGAAATGCTAATACTGGCCTTGTAATCCTTCAGATCCTACAGAAAAGGGTGATAATCACAATGCCACACAGCTTTGGGGTGACAATTGGAAATGTCAAAAGAGGCAGGAATCAAGATAATCACATATCTCCAGCTTCTGGAAAATTACACATTTTCAACAGGACTCAAACTGGATACTCAGAATTAGGAGAGCGTGGAACAACAAATACTCCAAAGGTGCCATAAAGGGGAAAATGAGAATAAAATCTCTCTGTAGCTGAC